TGATGTGCCTTGGAGAGGATCTTCTTGGGTTGATTCTATTTGGGGTCCTATGTATTTCTTGGATCTGGATATTTGAATGCCTTTCTAGGTTTGGATAGTTTTTTTCCAGGATTTCATGGAATAAATTATCAATGCCCTTATTATTTTCTTTCTCTTCTGGGATGCCAATTATCCAGATGTAGGGGCGTTTGATGGTATCCAGTATTCCTTGTATATTATTCTCATTTTCCTTGGTTGTTTTCTCAATCTTCTTGATACTTTTTTCTAGGTCAGAGGTTTTGTCTTCTACAGTCAAGATCTGATCTTCTGCATGATCTAATCTACTTTTTCTTTTTAAAAAAAAAGAATTATTTATTTAATTTTATTTATTCATTCATTTTAATTTGACCAGAGAGAGACACACACAGAGCAAGAGGGAAAGTGAGAAAGCAAGCCACCGAGTCTGTGACTCAAACTATGATTGGCCGTGTGGGAGTGTCCAGCACCTTAACCACAACACCATCTGCTGGCCCTGAAATAATCTACTTTTAATACTTTAGAGAAAGGTTTTGATTTCCTGTATCACATTCTTCATCCCAGGAAGTTCCATCTGATTCTTTAAGGTGTCTATTTCTTCTTTCAAATCATGAAAGGACTTCTTCATCTCCTGGAGCCCATTGTCTCTTTCCTCTTGCATCTCAGTTAGTTTGGTCACTATAGATATTCTGAATTGCTTATCTGACATGTCCACGACGCCCATTGTGTTGTTTGTGGGTGATGTGGGATTGACTTTTTCTCTTGGAGGAGAGACATTTTGTTGGTTGCTCATATTTCTTGTGCCTCTGCGATTGTTCCTAGTCACCTGGTCATCTATATATTCCTCCCTAATTTGTTCAAGGTACCTCTGAGTGTTTGAAAGTGTGCAGGAGTAGAAAATTGGCAATCTCTCTTCTGGTCTGCTTTCCTGTTGCTCACCAGTACCCTGCACTGTTGTCACTGGTCCTGGGTGACCCAAAGTCCTCCCTGTTTCTAAAGACTGGTGAGCCTCCAACTAAGCTAATGAGCTTCTCCTCGGGGCAAAAACGATCACATGCTATTCAATACACCACAGTTCTAAGAGTCTAGAGGCAAGTGGGTGGGGAATAACCACAGGTCCTGGCCACTAGGGCCTGCAGCCACAGGCAGCCTGGTGTCTGGCAATGCCGCTAGCTTGAACTGGTCTCCGGATGGGGTGGGGAGAGGTGCAAGTTCATCCTATGGTCCCAAGACACGATCCTAAAGTCCCAAGACATGAGCCTAAAGTTCAGAGGCAAGTTGGGCGGGGGCGCGTGAGCCACGGGTCCTGGCTGTTGGGGACTGCAGCCACAGGCAGCCTGGTGTCCAGCAATGCCGCTCTAAGTCAAACTGCTTTAAAAAGGTGGGGGACTTAAAGATTGGAGGTCGTACAGGTTGAGTTCAACTGGTCCATGTGAAGACTTCATCATCTGGCACCTTGTAAGGGTTCAATAAACAGCCATGCATTTTTTTCTGTTGCAAAGGTCACGTCTCTAAAATACAATGCCGCATTCCCTCGCTCCCTGTTGATGTCCAATAAAGGATGCATTCATAACTGGCTTCCTTTTAGCAGCTTGAAGGGAGCATTCTCACTTGGGCCTCTCTGAGGGCAAAGGCTTGTCATGGAGCAAGCTGTTGTTCTCCAGCTGGGGATTCACCCTTTCCTGCAGGGGACTGAGCTCATTCGATTATGTTCAGTCGACAAACTTGGATTTCCACTTCTGAACCATTGTTTATTGCTTCTGCTTTATTCACAGAACATGTCCCTGAGTCGAGGTGAAACCATGACGAGGAAATAGAGCGAGGAATAATGCTTTTCCGCAATCGCTTCTTGCTGCTGCTGGCCCTGGCTGCGCTGCTGGCCTTCGTGAGCCTCAGCCTGCAGTTCTGTGAGTAGAGCTGGGCGTGGGTCCTGACGGGCAGGGGTTCCGTTCTGGAGGAGAGGGCCTGAAGTCACTAGCCTGTTTTTTTTACATGATCAATGAAGATTAAAACAACTGGATCTAGGGCCAGGAGGTGAAAGGAGTCAGATCCCACATGGCCTACTGCATGGCTCAAATCCCAGACCTGGTAGCTTGAGAAACAAGCCAGGCATGTGTGCAATGTGTGACCAAAATTTCCAGAGGAGGGCGAGGTGGAGAAAGGAATGCTGCCTGACCATGGCCCAGAAGGGATGCCTTCTCTCTCTCCCTTTCTCTCTGGAGAATGCACATAACCTCTGTCAACATTTAAATTGCTAGAGGGTGCTTGCTTTCACTGGAGGAGAGAAACAGAGAGACCGAGAGAGGAAAGTGGTAAGGCTTCCCCCATGGGGATGGCCAGGCCACAATCCCTTCTCCTCCATTTCTCCTCTTGGGACTTTGGGCACACACATACATGTGCTTGGCGTGCTTTGCAAGCTTCTGAATCTGGGATTAGAACATGCAGTCAGCACACGGGGTCCAGTGCCTAAGGACCACACCGCCTGCTGGCCCATAGGCCTTTTGTTTTGGGGGCTCATGGTGGATGATTGCAAGCAGGAATCCTAGACCCCTAGCAGCGTTCTGGCTGTGCCATTGGGCCGTGCGGAACAAGAGTTCTCCTCGTTCTTGAGACACGGTTTTGACTTTCACACAGATTCCTAAACTGCCTGCTTGGTCATTCCCAGATTCCTAGTTCAGTTCCCAAGGTGGAGACACCGAGTGGCCTAGTTTCACTTCCGGCACCAAGCCACACGCACAGAGCTGTTTGGCCCTTGGTTAGGTCCTTGAGGGCTGGCTGTCCATTTATGTTCAGTCCGCTGTGGGACTGGATTGATGGGGACAGGGTGGGGGAGCAGGTCTCTGGTATCAAACTCGCCCCCTGGATTAGGGGCTATGCATGGGAGCCCCCATGTGTGAGGCAAGAGTGCCCTGATGAAGCCAGTCTGCAGACCTCATCATCCAATGCTTCGACTGTACCCCCCATCTCTGCACACTGCAGCTCCCCAGGAACGGCCAGCCTCAGACAAACCCTGCCCTGGTACTTCCTTGAATGCAGCCTTTCGGGCATGGACTCTGGTCTTCGGGGAGGCCTTTCACTCTCCTGTGGACCTGCTTAGGTTGGCCTTCTCTGCAAGTGCCAGCCTCTGCTCTGTGCCCAGAACCTGCTGCACCCTGCATGGAGTGCTCTCCTCTTCACCTCCCTCCCATCCTTTCTCCTCCAGCCCTCACCTCTTCTCCTCCAGGGACCTTCCAGAGCCACAAGGGTTTGGTGCTTCTTTGATGCACATGGGGTTGCCCGAGCCCGTTCCCCTCCTTGCACTCATCATGCCATATCATCATGTCCGGTCCTCATGTCCTGTCTTCCTGTAAGACTGTCTGCTCTTTGAGAGCTGGAACTGCACCCTGTTTCTCTCTAACATGCCAGGCACCAGCACCACCCAGCACATAGTAGGTATTTTGTAAGTGTTCATCACATGAATGAATCTATGTCTGCTCTGAGACGCAGGCTGACCCCAATTCTCTCTCTCTCTGGGGCTGTGTACTCAAGGCTGAGGGAAGCTCTGTGTCGTGCTGGGAGTTGTGACTTTGCTGTCACTTGTCTTCTCTCTGCATCACCACCTTACCCTGATGGGTGAGAGACAAGCGGTTGGCACCCATCACTACCCAGGACAGCTCTGTGAGGAGGTGGCATTTCTGCCGCAGTGTGATTTTTTGGTGGCTCCACGAGTGTGCAGAGGGACATGGCAAGGACTTGGCAGAAGGAAGGGGTGGCTTGGAGAGAGGTGGGCTTCAGCAGGTTTCCCCGATGCTCCTCTGATTGTGACGCAGATAACGGAATGATGCAGATAACGGAAAATACTCGTTTTACCTTCCAGAATTGGGAAAGAGGTCAAGGGAAGGAAGGCAGAAGAAGTTTAAAGATACACCTACTGGTGGGACCAGCAGGTGGCGTGGTGGTTAAGGGCACTGGACTCCCACATGGCTGACGTGGTTCAAATCCCAGACCTGGCAGCTTGCTTCCCTCCCTCCCCCACTCCCCCACTCCCCACCCTGCCCAATTCCTCTCTGGTCAAATTAAAACAAACAAATAAATAATACTTAAAAAACAACAACAACAACAAAAAGATACACCAGCCAGTGAGTGAACTGTAAAATGAGACTCCTTCCCCAAACGCATAGTAGGACTCTGCAGTTTGTTTGAAACTTTTCATTAAAATGTTCCACCTTTGGCTGGAGAGGTGAGACGTTATCACCCACCCTGATTCCTACTCCAAGGAGCTGACATGTTCTGAGCCCTGCGTGTGGGCTACTTGTGTTTGCTGCGTTTCTCTGGCATGAGCTGGTTTCCACGTCACTGAATTGGCCTGTGTGTTTTGCTTATATAACTCTTCTGAAAGTACCTTCTGTTTTAAGAGAGCCAATTTTCAGCCATACTTTTTAAAGGAAAATTTTGCAGAGTAAATGAGCCTGGCTGGATCCGAGCTCTTTATCCTTGGATGCGTTGCTGTTTCGAAAGCTATTTGGGTATGGACATTCTGACCGCTCTGCTCCTGCTAGGTAAAGTGTTACTTTGGAATCTCCACGTTTCTGTAGAAATGGAGTTTACTTGCTTCATTTATTTCATTGCTTTATTGGTTGCTTACTATTGAGGGATAAGAAACTGCACTAATTCATAATGCAGAGTTTATGCTTAAATAACACTTCTGTTTCCATCCTTACTCTAAAATACATAAACTTCATCGCTGCCACTACTTTTTGAATAGCAAATTAGTACGTGTAATTATTTTAAGTAATTGGGGTAATCAAATATAACTTGGGTTTCTCATGTTTTAAGTAAACAGTACAGTTTTAGTTTCTGAAATGATTATGTGTTTTATTTTTGTCTTGATTTTAGTTTTCTTTTTCTGATGTGTTGAAGGTGAAAAAGTTAAGACCCAAGTTACATTTTTGAACGACCAGGTTATGTAAGCATTTCTGCTTCTGGGTATAGAAAGTGCATACCCACATGTACTTATTAAGTATTTATGTGTGGTTGACGTTTTTCTACACTGTGGCCTGGAGATAGTAGGAACGGGATGCAAAAAAGATTAGGATATTGTTCACCGTTTCTCAAAATCTGTTCGCTCTTTATGCATATGGCTTACTATGTGCTAATAGTCAAATTGAAATCGTTCATTTGTACATTGAAGTTCTTGATGTTTTTTGAGTTCGGGATTTGGGATATTTTGAAATTGCTGATATTAAATTGTAGGAAGGAACAAACAAGGCGACAACTTTTCAATCACTTCAGTTCAAATACATGCAAGTGGAAAATAACGTCTCGAATTGAAGGACTCCTTTAATACAACAGGGAAAGACTGTAGGGATGTGAGGGCTTGTGAGTCGTTAGTTCTGTTTCTGCCTTCCCTGCTCACTTGTAGTAATCCAGGTTGTTGATCTCATCCAGCGATTTCTTAATGCTTATTTTGTGCTCATTTCGCCACGTTCCAACCAGCATCCCAAAATGGCGCATGGCGGGCGCTCACAGACTGGAGTCGTAGTCTTGCATTTGAATGTCAGCTTCCCCAGTGCTCAGCCAGGCACTGTTTCTTCTCTGCGAAACAGTTAATTATTTCTTATTTGCAGGGTGGGCATGAGAGCAGGGAATTTGGGGGAAACCCTTGGCTCCTGGAAGCTCCTGTTTCTTTTTCTGTAAAATAGAATTCGTTGTGGCAACTTTGCAAGGTTGGTGTGACAAGGGAGACTTTATGGAAAAACCCTTGGCTCCTAGAAGCTTCTGTTTCTTTTTCTGTAAAATAGAATTAATTGTTGCTGCTTTGCAAGGTTGGTGTGAGGAGGAAGACCTGATGGAAAAACCCTTGGCTCCTAGAAGCATAGCCAACATTAATCTTTTAACCTAACCAGTACAAGGCCCACCATAATGCACCCGCCCCAGAAACCAGAGCTTCTAGTGTCCCCAAAGCCTGCCAAAGCACTTGGGACTTCAGACATTCGACAGGAGGGAGCTTTGGAAATACTGGGTCATCGGAATAGTCATGACATATTTTCCTGTTTTTTTTTTTTTTCTTTTTTTGCAGAAATGCAACTTTTTCGACGACCCAATGTATCATACATTTATTTGTTTGTAATCAGAGTACATTGGCCATGATTGGGGTTAACCTCTGCTCAGCACACGCACCCATATCTGAGGTTCAGCCCCTTGGACAGGGCCCTGGCTGCAGAACTGGTTCACAGAGAAATGTCAAAGGTGCTATGGAGATTAAGATCCCCAAGTAATGGGAGGAAGCTTAGCCTTCAGAAGTAGAAGTCAGGGTTGTTGTCAGTATCCGAGGGACTCTGCAAGACGAGTTGGACCTGTTCTGTGCAGCCCGGGTGAACATGGAGATACATTTGTTAAGAGTACTAAGGAACTTCTAAGTCCGTGCAGCAGAGTGGAAGCGGGAGGTGTTCTCTGTCACTGGGACCGCAACCTCTGGAAGGGTCTTTACTGAAGAGTAGACTCGTAGGCCGATCACTGAGCCCAAAAGTCCTTTTAATCTCCAGGGGTTTATGGATTTTATGTTTCTTTGTTAATTCATTGTCAGGATTATGCAATTGTTCCTTGAGTTTCCACTGTGCTAGGGCCTGGAGTGAGAGCTTAATCCCTTGCTTTAGATTTCTGCTGTTGTAACAGAATACCTGAAGGGCCAGCAAATGGTGTAGACTAGAGTCCCACATGGCCGACTGCAGTTCAAGTCCCAGTGCTTGACAAGCATGCCAGGCGCATGCACATGCATGCCCAAGATCCCGGGAGGAGAAGGGATTGCAGCATGGCCATTCCCTGGGGGGATGATTTCTCACTTTCCATCTCACTGTTTCTGACTCCAGTTTCTCTCTCTCTGGCAAGTGCATGTGCCCTAAGGCAAAAACCTCTAAAAGAAAAAAAA